TCTCTCTCTCTCTCTGTCTCTCTCGCGCTCGCTCCCATACATGCGTGTTTTTGCACTGGCTTTCGTGTAGGACGGGGATGTTGGGGGATTTTAGCGACACCAAACCACACGAGTTCATAAACTCAAGCTAGCACGAACATAGAAGGACAATTCGTTTTTTCCGTAGGATCCCAATTGCCCATTTAATGATGCTTTCCCCGGTGAAACCGAACTTGCTGAAGCAATCCGTTCTATGGGAATTTCACAACATGAGGGGACGTAGTAGACCACTGGGTCCTGAGTCCTGACCATACGCACATGGGCTCATAGGGCATTTTGCTGGGCCATGTAGTGTACTGTAGTACATAATAGCATAGTCTGTGATAATACATGATAGTATCGTGCATTGAAGTAAAGTATAGTAGAGTACCGTGTAGTATAGTTCAGTGCATTATAAACCCTAAACCCTAAACCCTAAACCCCAAAAACCCAAAACCCCAAACCCTAAACCCTAAACCATTCTAGTATGTTATAGTATAGTATGAACGCTTAACCCCAAACCTTGAGAGTCCTCCGTTGGTGACAGGTTGCGCTCTGCTGCAAGGCATCGGCAATGGCTGCAGCCATGGCTTGCGCTCGGTAAAGCTGTTTTAAGGTTTAGGGTTTCCTGGGTCTGGATATTCGGAGTGTCCCGGTTCAGTATTTAGGGTTTTGGGTTTAGTGCTTAGGGTAACCCTAAATCCTAAACCCTAATGTGTGGCCCAAGATTGGCTAAACAGCGCGATCGACTGCTGGGCGGCCCGGGGATCTTCTGCAAGGTTCTGATTGCTGCATTGCTCGGAGTGCAGGGTCGGAAGCTTCTTGTTGCAGAACGGTGGAGGACTTAGAGGTATGATCCCTAGTCAATATGTTACTTTCTGCCTGTCTGTCTGTCTGTCTGTCTGTCTGTCTGTCTGTCTGTCTGTCTGTCTGTCTGTCTCTGTCTGTCTATCTATCCATCCATCTCAAGCTTGCTTCGAACAAGCAGCTCTCCACTTGCATCATATAAGTCCCGGCTGATCACAAGGGGCCACAAGGGGGTAGAAAGCGTCGGCAAGCGTCGCCGCATGGAGGAGAACTCCGAGTGGTATACTGGTACTGCTCACGGAATGCTAGGCAGAATGAAACGACCGCGAGGAACGAGTTGCGGATCATTCGGCCCTGGGGGGTGATAGATGATGAGGCTGTGGGGAGATTCAAAAGTGTCCAATGAGATCGCTTGCAAGCAGCGATTTGGCGTTTTTTGATTTCGGTTTGGCGAGTGCGTCGGGGTCACGACTATAATAATATGCAATATGAACATAATTACCACCAAAAACGAGGTAGTAAAGGCATATAGTAGATAATGCAGCATATATAAGCGATATAGCAATATGTAGTACATAATTTTCATCAACAATAATACAGATTGGGAGCTTGTCAGCCGGTAAGCCTATGTCTGCCTCATAATCCTGCTGCAAGCGCAGTTAGACCTCCTCGCGTTTCTTTGGGGAGGGGGTTCCTCTCTACACTGTATGTTGCGGCAGGCTACCGTGTGTGGTATACATATTCTCTGCCTTTGAGATCTTCAGCAAAGAAAGGCAGGCCTTGGTTTAGGGTTAGGGAAAGGGAAACTTTAAACCCTAAACCACGAAAACAACAAAAACACATCAACGACCACGGCCTCTGCCATCTGCAGGAGAGCATCGCACAAAGCATGAGCGACCTGGAAGAACTGAGAGACCCTAAGCCCTAAACCTTGCCCGATCCGCCTAGTATAGGGGCCTTAGCCACTAGAGCCTTTTGTGGGTTAAGGCTGTCCAAGGGGTTCTGAGTTCTATGAGAATAGGCGGTTTGATAATCAGTCATGGTAGGGTTCCTTTTGAAGGCTTCGTTTCAAATGCTACTGTTAGGATCTATGAGGGTTCCTCTGAGGGCGACTGAAGTGCTTACTTCTAGGGGCCTGTATCTTAGAGTAGGGTTTGGGGTCCACTATCGTACAAACTTTTCAGGCCTCTCTATTCAATAACAACCCCAACACTCGAATCCCAATTAACAGCCAGAAATCCTAAAACTCCAACATCTGCGCCCTAAACCCTCGGAGCCGTAGAGATCCTGAATTCCGCCAGTTGCCTGGTGAACCCGGGGTTTTCGTGGCTTAATGTAGGAGCCTTAATAATTACAATAGCGTTTTGGGGGCTCCTTAGTATAGCTACGGTATAATATCCCCAAAACCATACACTAATTAGAAAGGCCCCCACATTCGCCACTTGAGTTCAATGAAGTACGAGGTGGAGTCTTCGGGCAAGATACACCCAAGTCCTAAACCCTCTACACCCCATGAGCCCTAAACCTCTTTGAGGCAAAGAGGTCGAGGGGTCAGGATTGCAGGAAAGAGGCAGTTTAGTTATGGGTTTGGAAGTGATGAGTTTGGCTCATGAGAGTCTTCGTCGGGTTCAGGTTCAGGGTAGAGGGGCTTTGGGTTTAGGGTAGAAAAGGTTTAGGCTTGAGGGTTTAGGGCTCAGGGTTTAGGGTAGAAGGGGTTTAGGCTCAGGGTTTAGGGTTGAGGGGCATGCTGCGATTGAACCCTTGCGAGTTCAGGGTTTAGGCGAGTGTACAGGAATTATCCCGATGGGCTGAGCAGCCGGCGGGCCAATTCTGCGCGGACTGCTTTTTAGGGCGATCTTCTGTTTAGATGACCCTATGACGTACTTCTCTGATAGATACTTCTATCATCCTTCCTCAAATGTCCAGATAGTTACAAAGCTGTCTTCATTCTTCAAGCTCTTAAAGTGAAGACCTCCTGCTTCGGCATCAGGGTAACTCTCGCAAGGCCTCGTGCGTGGCATCTAAGAGCAGAAGCCACGTAACAGCTGGGGAATTCAGGTTTCAGGGATTGCATGGAGTTGAGATTCAGGGTTTGAGGGGGTTAAATATTCAGAAATTTCAGGGCTTAGACTACAATGCTACAGTAGCCAGAAGCAGAAAGCGAAGCCCGTGTTCTGGCATCACCAGAATGTGAGCAAAGCAAGCACGCTTTTGCCAGCAAGGTGCCACTCATGCCAATGTGACAAGCCTGCCCTTGATCATAGCCGGTTCCCTGTTGGGGCTAAATAAAAAGTGAACATGTTTAGTCCTTACTGGGTTTTTATTATAACAAAAATGTAAAATTGTATCCGACAAGGACCCAGATAGTGGTTTCAGGGCTGAGATGAGGAGACATATATAGGCCCGCTTGAAAGATTCGAGGTTCCGGTTGACGTACCTATGCTCATAGAAGCCTCTTTTAGCCGATAAGATCCGTTCAACAAGCACGGCCCTGTTCCGAGACAGCCGTTGCAACAACAGTACTTCGCTTGAAATGAAGGCTTCAGATGGTCAACGCTCGCCCTAAACCCTAAACCCTAAACCATAAACCCTAAACCCTATCGGACATGAGATCCCGGAAAGCACCGGGATCCCAACACCGGAGCCTCACGGAGGCAATTTTCTCGGAGGATCGGGCAGACGCAGTAAACGCTAGCCGAAGGGTTCTAAGCTTTCGGGAATCGAGCTGGAAGCCTGGTACTGTTACCAAAGACCCAGCTTACCAAATCCTTTCCCGGTAAATTCGATGTTCCGATCTTCCCAAACCCGAAACCCTAAACCCGAAACCCCAAAAGCCTGAAGCCGAAACCCTAAACCCTGAAGTGCCCTAATATAGGGGCCTTAATAGTTAGAATAGGGTTTTTGGGCCCACTATACTGTAATTATAATAAGGAGCCACCAAAACGGCATAGGTATTTATTTCAGCCCCCCATATTCCAAGTGCAGGCGAAAGCCTGCGAAAAGCTTCGCCCAAGCCTTCTGGCCTGTACTGGACGAATCAGGAGCCCAGCCATTCCGTCAGGGTCACTTTAAGGGCTCCTTCAAGGGGTTCCTTTTAAGGGTTCATAATAAGGGGTTAATGTAAGGGAACCGTTAAGGCCCTGTAGGGCTAACGTGCTTTAGGGCTGAAGGGGGCTGGAAGCTTAGGAAACCGGGCGCAACGCAGGATATCGCTGTTGAACTTCCACCCACCGCACCAGACGTAGATCTGCTGCTCGTGATTCTTTTGAGCACTGGAAGGCCTTCGAGTATATGGCTTACGAGAGACTGGGGTTGCAGCCTTAATCTCGACATGTGTGAAGGTCTGAAGCTGCGAGTTCTGCAATTCGGGTTTAGGGTTTAGGGGTTTAGGGGTTTAGGGTTTAGGGTTTAGGGGTTTAGGGTTTAGGGTTTTTGGGCTGTGCACGCTTTGGAAAGCTGTGTCATGACCTTGGCGTTGCATTCGTCATCGATGCAGATGACCACAGAATTGCGGGCCCCTTACAACTGTGTAAATGGCAAAGGGGTGTTCATCCGACTTGCAAAATACTTGTGGAGCCGGACCACGTCGAACAATGTCAAGCGAATGCGTGGATCTGTCTCGCCCCCAAGCAGGCCCTTAAAGCCCTAGCAGCAAACCTGATGGTAGGCAAAGAAAGTGCCAGTAAAGTGTGTTTATATAGTCCAACTGATGAACGCCCTGCAAAAGTAGAGATTGAAACTCCAGGCGCTGTGTCCTAGGCCCACAGCCATAGGCCATAAAACTGTACTGTACATCACCGTTTACAAGCGCTTGGCAGTCCTCTTCGGCACAAAGCAGGTGGTTTAAGCAGGTTGGGGGTTGTCTTAGAGCCAGGCTCTACCAGCAGCATGCACATACGCACTGACCAGTGGCGGTTGCTACGGTAAGAAGGCGCTAGTAACCGCTAGTAGCTTCAAGTTGAAATGCGAAAAGGACACCTGGTGATTGGGCAAATTGTGCATCTGTGGATAGTGAAGCCATGCACTGGCTATCAGTTGACACATACATCAGCGCATGTGCAAAGTCGGCAGAATCGCTGAAGAATCTGCAGAAAGAGCGAATGCACACAATCAAGTCACATAAATATGCTGGTATCCACATGATATTACCAGCAGCGGCGTGGTCTCAGTATGTCTCACTGCAACTGCACAACAGTGGGTCGAAGTTGCGTGTGGAACCTCTCGAGCAGCTTGCTGAGATATCCGGTCCACTTCGTCACATCTTCGCGTCGCTTGCCAGCCACGGTGGTATGAATCAGCTCTGCAGCCTCGGCAACACCCTTGTTACCACCTGTCCGATGAATTGCCACTAGCCACTCCCTCACGTTGCCGCGGAAGTCGCTAGCATGAAGCACAGATGTACTCTTCAGAATGGAGCGCACCGCCCCATCTACCGCAGACTTGGCAGCATTCTGTGGGCTGTCAGTACGCTTCTCATGCTTGTCCTTCCTATCCTTCTTCTCCTTCTTCTCTTTCTTTTCAGGTTTGTCTTTCTCGCGGGACTCGTGTCCTTTTGGATTCTTCAGCACAGTCACCACAGTCCTTGATGGGACTCGGACAGTGTTCTTCAAGAGGTGGTTGGCTTCGATGTTCCTCTCGAAAGACCAGCCATCTACCACGGAATCCTTTCCGAAGGTCTCGTGGTTCTTGCGATCAGCGCCGGCTTCTGCGGCCTCGCGTGCTTCCATGCAATACAACTGAAACTCATCCACACTCAGGGCGAGTGGCTCAACAACACTTCGGGTGGACGAGCTCCCCCTGAGAATAGACAAGATCTCCTTCCCGCGGTTAGATGGATGCGGCTCGGGTACAGATGGATAGAGGCTAAGTTCTATGACTGGGATCTTGTTGGCTTTACATGTGGATCTGCGCTTCCAGCCAGCACAGCTCCGATCCCAGACATTTGCATGTGTAAGAGCTGTCTCAACACCCTCGATGCTGTTGAGCTCCAAACACAACCAGAGTTTGGCATCCGCATCACAACTGTCCTTGTGCAAGGCTTTTCGTCGAGAGATTACCCTTTGCAGCGTGTCGACGGCAACCTTGCTCGTGATGCTTCCACCAACTTGCGAGAGATCCACCTCGCTAACGAAAGAATTGGACATCCAATCAGCCAATGCCTGCAGTGACATGTCCCCGATGGCAGTCCGAGCAAGCTTCAGTGAAGAACACTGCGGCCACTGCCGCAAGAATGGTACCAGGCTAGTTGTCACGCCGTAATCCGTGATTCCTGCATTATCTGATAGATCCAAGGCATAGGAACGACCTGCTTCCTGTAGCCGGAAGCCCACGTGACGAAAGAGTGAGGGCAGGTCGGCGTCGCAGACGCCCTGTCCACGAAGTTCCACTCTGACCATCAACCCATCGAAGCTGGTAAAGGTATACCATCGCCTTGGTCAAAGAGGGCTTAAGGCTTATGTAGGTATACATACAGCCATCGATATAGATCTGAATATAAGCTTTTGATCTAGATATAGCCAAAGATATAATCCAAATAAACAGATAAACAAAAATCAAACACTATGAATACAATATGAATCTATATATATATATATATGTATATATATATATATACATATATCTTATATGTATGCATGTGCATAGCGGCTAGGGGGTTGAGGGGCCAGCTTATGGCAACGAAGACAACAGGTAAGATCCCCAGCAGCGAGGGCTTCATTACGGAGACTTCGAGGATATCACGCTAAACCCTAAAACCTAAACCCTAAACCCTAAACTCTAAACCCTAAACCCTAAACCCTAAACTCTAAACACTAAACCCTTAACCCTAAACTCTAAACCCTAAACCCTAAACCCTAAACTCTAAGCCCTAAACCTACTATTCAGGGACCATGAGGCCTCTGTGAAAGGGGGCTTCGGGGGTGCTGGTTAACCTGAAAGCCCTAGTAGAGGGGCCTTAAGAAGTAGAAGAGGGTTTGGGGTTTAGGGTTTAGGGTTTAGGGATGTGGGCATATATATTGTACTATCTATGGATAAGGAACCCTGAGAATAATCTTGGTCACAATTTAAGTTAAGATTCTAGATTACCTTAAGAACCCAAAACCCACTTTTTTGTAGGTTCTATTATAAACGCTAATATGGGATTTATAGGGACCCTACAAAAAATTAGGTTTTGGGTTCCGAGCAGCTGCCAGGAGTTTGTCCAGGGCGTTCGCACATGGGCCGTTGCCATGCCGGGGAGGAGATTGGGCGCGACGCGTATCTGCAAGTACAGCGCCCACCCCCTACGACTGAGCCCCAGAAAAAGATCGGCGAAAGGGAGTCCGGACAATGACGCACCCAAAACGAGGAGGGCATGACCTCGAGGGCAAACACAAATTGAAGTAATGGAGGGGCCTTAATAATTAGAATAGGGTTTCGGGGTCGATTATACTATAATTATAATATAAAGAGCCCCAAAAGCCTATTCTAAATATTACAGTCAGGCCCCTATAGTAGGTCTTTCTCAGGAGCACTGGCATGCCCTGACAAGGCGACCCGTTTTGCGTGTGGAAGGGAGAGTCCTGAAGCTCGCTCCATACCCAGGTACAGCCTGTTACCTAATATAAGGGCCTGAAGAATCACCTATACTATCTTGGGGGTTCCTAATTATCGATATAATACAGTAAACCCCAAAACCCAATGCTAATTATTAAGGCCGCTACGTTAAATAGTAGGTTCACCGTCCCTACGTACCAACAAGTTAGCAACCCATCATCCCTTTGTTAGCTGTGCACCCTGTGCTGGAAACCCAAAATGAGAAACGATTGAATCCCTGAGTCCTATAATCCCTGAGGTCTTACGCACTAGACTCACTAGAGTAGGCTAGACTCGACGACGCGGTTCAAGTCTTAAGTTGCACACACTTACCCTACCAACCCCTCAAACCCTAAACCCTAAAACCGCTCCTTATTTTTAATTGCACGAAACCTCCTGGTGGAGCTTCCACTTGTGCAGAAGCGTCATGGCTTCTTTCACAATCGCCTGCGGCAGCAACATAAAGTCTCGAAACATGCTAGCTTTGCTTCTAGGCTTACCTATATGGTTCGATGCATATGCACTTAGAACTTGGGGTTCGGGGTGAGGATAAAGATTTCGAGTTTAGGTAGGGGTGTATCCTGTGATAGGGTCCTGGCCGTCCTTAACAAAGATGTTCAAAGCGACAATATGCAGGGTAGCAGGGGGGGGGGGGGGGGGGGAGCAATCTGGCTAAGTTGGATTTGGTTTGGGATTTGGGGTTGAAAAGACATGCCTGTCTCCTCACACCCACACACACACCTATCAATCGCAATAAGCTGCCTCAATGGAGCAAAGTCGCACAAACAACGTGAAAACCGCTCTGCTTACAGCCAGCCGTTGCTAAATACATGTAATTGTGGTGAGGGGGGGTGAGGCACGATGTTCGAAACCGCTTTGTCAAGCTACCGGTTCACATATCCATTTCCGACACTGCTTCGTTTCCTCTCATTTCGTATTGGTACCTGTTTACTGCAAGTGGTCCAGCATAGCAGACTGGTTTACTCGAAGTCATTTGACGAATGCTCCTGCAAGGCCAAGATCCAAGCTGCCGAAGCACCTGGCCTCCTTCGTGATGATCGCTGGCATTGCAGGCTTTAGAGTTTAGGGTTTAGGGCCTAGGGTTTAGGGTTTAAGAAGCAGGGACATCATCGATGTAAGTAATGTCAACACGCTAGTCAGGGTCACCAAGTCGCCGCAATCTCAGCCAGAATGCTCTGTCGCTCTCTCCAAAGAGGTATATGGTCCAGGTCGAAGATAACCCCTCTATGAACTAGTCAATGCTATTCAAGCCCAGCAGAGGATATCCAACACACACACACACAAACAAACCCTAAAAGCTAGACCCTAAACCCCAAACCCTAAACCCTAAACCCTAGACCCCAGACCCTAAACCCTAAACTGTACACACACAGAGAATGGTGTTTTTTTTTAGGTCTCTGCTCCGATACCTTCCATCTGATACATCGAAGGCTGGAGGCACCCAGCTACCAAGATTCACCGTCCTGAGTTTAGGTTGTGAGGTGCAGGTGTTGAGCTCTAAACTCTTATGAAAATTGAACCCTTATGCAACTTGACGAAGATAAACACACACACACACACAGCGACCCTGCCGGGTGCAGGCACTCAGTAAGATTCTCAGTCCCCACAGTCTTCTGCTTCTACGCATTCTCCTGCCCTTCGATGTCTGCATCGATTTAGCTCATCTTCCTTGCCGATCCATCTGTCCACCTGATTTAACTCACGGTATCCGAAGGTATCCATTCTCTTGCGCAGCCCTGAAGCCTAAACCCTTTCCGGCCCTAAACCCAAAACCCAAAACCCTGAACCGTAAACCCTAAACCCTAAACCCTGAACCGTAAACCCTAAACCCTAAACCCTGAACCCTCAACCCTAAACCCTAAATTTTTCAGCCCTGAGTTAAGGAGAGCTCGCCATCATGCCTCGGGTTCCCTGGGAGGCGTAGGGGGCCGATACCCCGGCCTCGGGTAAGCTGCGTTTTTCGTTTTCAGGGTTTAGTATAGGGTTTATAGGGTTTAATTGTTTAGGGTTTAGGGTTTATAGGGTTTATTGTTTAGGTTTAGGGTTTGGGGTTTGGGTGCCACATGTGCTGAGAGTCTGGGGAGCTTCACGTTTAGGGCACTAAGCCGGTGTATGACAAGATGCATAAGTGTGGAGATTGATTGAGCTTCATAGCAGCTTGCCAAGCTATCTGGAAGCATTGAGTGGCTGTATAAGGTATCGTAGGATTTTACAATGTGGGTCGTGTGTATACAATCTGTACCTATGTACATATCTCTGTATATATATATATATATGCACCTATCTACATACATATATATATATATAGATGCTTGTATATATACACACACATAACATTGACTTACTTCGTGGCTGGTTGACACCCCAGGCCATGGTGTACCTGGCTGGCGGTGTGGTATGCGGTGCTGCTATACACTGAGTACTACCACCGTGCTAGTAGTGGTAGTAGTAGTAGTAGTAGTAGTAGTAGCAGCATCAGCAGCAGTAGTAAGACAGAGTCATTATCGTACAAAGTTCACTACTTCTTCGGCTTCGTGCTGCTGCAAACCTGCTCCTGCTTCTTCTTGCGGCTGAACTGAACTGCTCAACAATGCCTCGGTCGGTTTCTGTACGCCTGGAGGCAGCTTCTGGGCTGCGGACGGTCCGGTTGAGGTGGTGTCAAGATGGCGGAGAATATCATAATGAGTCACGTTGGACCGAAGAAGATACATGACCTAAACTCTGCATATACAACCCTCAAAGCGCCCGTATAATAGAACTCTTAAATAACTGATAACAGGTCATATGATATATATATATATATATGTATACATATGCATACCTATTCATTTGCATACGTATATGTGTATCCCGAAACGAACTCGCTTAAGATTCGGACATCGACACCAGGTCAGTCGCAGTTGCTGCGAACATCCGGGTTTTGGCACCACCGATCCTGGAAAGAAGAGATTCCAAAGTGCAGCAGGCTTCTACTTGGAGGTTCATGGGTAGTTATAAGTAGGGTTATAAGTCCCTTAATATGGGTTATAAGTATAGTTACCCTACTTATAACCCCACTTATAACTACCCATGAACCTCCAAGTATGGTTTTTTGGGGAGGTTCCAGGACCTTCCTTATACCCGCAAGCAGGGGTACATGGCGCCTATATAAAAGTAGGTATTTAGGTTCTCTATAAGGTTTTACATGGACGTATCTCGTTACGTGGGGGGTTGTAATGGATGTGGGGGGTGTCCTGATCATGATCAGGACACTGCTATATAAGGGTTCTTGCTGAAGGAACTCCGTCTAGCTGAAAGCACCTGTCTTCGCGTTTAGGAGCACTGTCAAAGCCCAGGCGGTCGACGAGCTGTTATGTAGGGGCCTTAAGAATTGGACTAAATTTGAGGGTGTCTACACTCAAGTAACTGCAGGCCCCCGCCATAAGTATGCGTTCAAGTGTGAACGGTGGCAACATTGGAGGCGAAATTGACCTTGAAACTAATTTTGCTCATGTACATGCTCACCCACCATGCGCTCCTGAGATACCTGGTACCTCCTTGCCGCATAGATAGCAAACAAAGGTGCACTGAGTCGACTTAGTCAGACCTGCCTAAGAGCAAAACTCTCAGCCCGAAATCCTGTCCTGACCTCCTGGATCCTAAGCCCTAGCGCTGACCCGAAGCTCTAACCTCCCTCGGGCCCCTCCACTTCCAGCGGTCCTGGAGAAGTTCTTGCCTCGGGCAAGCATCGATAAACAAGCTGTCATATCGACCAAAATGGTGGGAGACAGAATGGTACATATATGCTTATTTAGAATGTCTGCATGTATGTATGTCTATGTATCTGTATGTACGCATACGTATGTATATGTATGCATATGTATGTACACACAGTATGTATATGTATGTATACAGCTATGTATATGCAGGTAGAAATGTGTGTGCGTGTATGTATGCATGTATGTATGTGTATGTGTGTGTGTGTATGTATGTATGTATGTATGTATGTATGTATGTATGTGTGTACTTGAATATGTATGTATGTGTGTAGGTGTTATGTATGTATGTATGTATGTATGTATGTATGTATGTAAGTGTGTAAATGTATGCATTTGAATGTATATGTATTTGAATGTGTATGTATGCATATGTAATATGTATATGTATGTGTATGTATGTATGTATGTATGTATGTATGTATGTCTGTATGTATGTATGTATGTATGTATGTATGTATGTGTGTATGTATGCATGTCTGTATGTGCATGTATGTGTGTACACGTATATGCATATGTATATTTGTATGTGTATCTATGTGCATGCGCATTTGGCTGTGTAGATGTATGCATATGTATGTATGTATGTATGTATGTATGTATGTATGTATGTAAGTACGTACGGGTGTGCATGTATGTATACATACATACATACA